GTTGGAATAATGTTGACCCAAAAAATTATTGAAAGTGGCACGAACTTTTGGGACAACCTATTATTTACTGTTACAGCGCAGTGGTTTCAGACCATACTGATGCTAGAAACATTGCAGGTGGAGGCGCAGGCACAAGTCCTAACAGCAGCAAACATTCTGATAGGTGAGCTGAAATGTTTCGTAGTATGAAAAATCAATCACAGCAAATACATATACTCTGTTTTCGAAACCAGGTGCGTGTCGTGTGCGGACCACACACCACAAGTGACGACGGCCACCAAGTAATTTAGGGCCGGGCAGCAAGCTTTGGCCAGGGGATAGGGCCCCAAAGACCCCTCATCTCTGGACGCATCCCCCCCATTCTTGATCACGAGGTTTGGGTCATAGACCGGAAAGCCGGGGCTTGGTCCACCAAGCCCTTGATAACTAGTGATTAACAGTGATAGATGATAGTGAGTAAGTGATAGCTGTAATTAAAGAGCTGATATAATACAACTGCAACCGGCTAAACATTTCATTGGCAGAAAACATTTACAGGGTTTCATCCAGCAAGGGGGGCATCGCGGTGCGCAGTCTGCTCTAATGCCAGTTTGGCTCAAGGAGTCCTTTAAAGTTACGAGCTGCTACCAGCTTTTTCCTAGATTATTTCTTCAGAAGTTTTGTATAATGTGGTGTTCTTGTGCTGAATGACGTAAACGTATATGAAGAATAATACTTACCTAATGAGCTGCTAAGACTAAGCCTAGGAAAAGGGAGGAAAGCTCCCCGGTGAATACTAAGATTGCTCACGGACGCGGGGGTTTCCCTCCCTTTCGAGGCTTAGTCCTAAACATTATCAATAAAAGAATAAGTTTTCCATGCTTTTAACGCGTTAAGCCCTCTAAATCGCAATGCCCCCTTACTGGATGATACCCTGTTAACCTTTTGTGGAGGCCGTCGTCATTTATGTTGTGTGGTTTGCACTCGACGAGCACCGGCTTTTCGGAAACCGGGGATTTCTCACTACAACAGTAGAGAGGTACTTTAATCGAGTGACCACAGCAGCAACAAATAATGTGAACTGTAAACCAGCCGTAGCCTTATATTCGGAATCGAGAAGATTCTTTTAGAATTGCATCAAAATGATGTTCATCGTTTCAGCAAGTACAAGCCGTACTTCATCCCCCTGCTGATACTCATAATCATTCTGGCATTGATCATAATCTTCCTCCTGATCTGCATCATTCTCATGATGAAACTTGAAGACAGGGTGATTATTTACTTCTTTACAAACTCAACGTAATCGGTTAGTCGGGGAGAGGGGGGGGAGGGGCATGGAGAGTCTGCGGCACGGTAGGTGGGTAGTATTGAGCTTAGAGAGGGAAGAAACTCCACGGTAACTGAAGATTGCTCACGCAACTCGAACCCCTCCTTGCCTTATTGTTTAATCGTATCGAATCTCTTAACATCCCGTAACGTAACTGCATACGTCGCGTGCCTACTCTCATGATTGAGCATACCCTCCGACGTGGTTTTGCACCCGTTTGGAATGTGGCGTGATTTTGACGTGTCCTCCCGACCAACTCATGTGGATTTCTGACATTTTATGACCGGACATCAAATGAGTCGGTCCTTTTCGACAGCAATTCCCACTTTCTTATATGACGCCACGATTCAATACTGGTCGCCGAAAAGCGCAGGCAGGTTGAAGTCTGGTGCCGTCAATACCGCCTCTATCTTCTGTCTTTCTTTACCT